CGCGTCACATTGCAGAGTTATCTTTTTCGCTGGGTTAAAATTAGCTAGACTGCTTATTGCACAAACTGCCTCTTTTATTTTATTGAAGTTCTCAGTATGTATCTGTTGCCATGTGAACACTGAATTCTTTTTAAGCAATCCTCGAAAAGGCTGAATCAGGTCCGCAAGATGAGGAATATATTCACGGACATAATTCACACTCCCCAAAAAACTTTGTAATTCCTTACGATTATTTGGATTTTTTAATTGCAAAATGGCCTCCAAGTATTCTGGATTTGGGCTAATTCCTTCCTGATTGAGAACGTGCCCCATGTAATTAATAGATGTCTTTTTAAATTGAAATTTAGATTTATTAAACTTAATATTCAGTTCTTCTGCTCTTCGCATTACCTCTGCAAAAGCTCTGTCATGCTCTTCTTCAGTTTCACCACAAATTAGTATATCGTCAAAATAGATGATTACATTCGGAATATCACCGAAGTATTTGGTCAATACTTTTTGAAAAATTTCTGGGGCACAAATTATTCCAAACGGTAGTCTCAAAAATTTGAAACTTCCAAACGGTGTGTGAAACCCAACGTACTTTGTTGATTCTGGAGACAATTTACAATGCCAAAATCCATCCTTAATATCTAGAACAGTGAACAACTTTTTGTTTGTGAGTTTAAGTTTAATTTCTTCAAAGGATGGTATGAGAAAAAGTTCTCTTTTAATATGTTTATTCAATCGATTAGGATCTAAGCACACCCTGATGGATCCATCATCTTTTTCCACAACGACTAGGTTACTGAACCATATTACATTCTTGACATCATTTGAGATTATGTTCAAAGATTGTAATGCATTTAATTTATCTCGCAGGGGAGTTCTAATTTTATGCGGCAATCTTCTCGGTGGATCATTTGATGGGATTGCATTAGGTGAAACAAATAAGTCAACTACGTCTGGAAATTCTCCAACGCCGGAAAACTGTTTGGGAAATTTTGCAAGAACTGCAGCCTCATCAGTGAAGGCAGACACATAATCTATTTGTTTTTTAAAAATTAGGCCAAGTTGTACTGATGTTTGTAGGCTTAACAGAGGGGTAGAGCCTGTTTTGGTTACAGTGAACTTAATTGTATAAGGAACACTAGTATTGGGTAATTGACATTTTAAGGTTACGTTACCAAAAGTTTCGATAGGAGCTCCGCCATATCCCAGAACCCTTGTTGTATTGGGAACTAAATCATCACTTAAAGTCTTAACTTTTTGATAAAGATGCCACGGTAAAATATTTATTTCGGCACCGGTGTCGATTTTGAAATCAATGAAAGAATTATTAACCAGCAATTGTTGCATCCAGAACTCATTTGTCTCAGCGGAAGAAACTACATTTACATTTACATGATTTGATTGATTAGCATGATGCGTTTGATAGCTTGCTTTTTGATTGCGACCCGCACTCGCTTCACTTTCAGAGCTTTTACCGCACTTGCTCAGATTATAATCAGTAATAGGGGGATTTGAAAAGGACTTTGGAAAATTATGTGGAATGCAACTAATTTCTGAGATATAAACATAATCTGAAGCTTCGACTTCATCAAGGTGCACTGAAGGTGCTGAATTTTCAGGACAAATCACTTCGTTAATACGGCACATTTTTTCAAAATGATTTCGACCCAAGCATTTTTTACACTGCTGCCGATAAGCAGGACACTGTCGCACAGGATGTTGTAGACCGCAGGAACGACAATCAATGATTCTTGACGGCTGCTGTTGATTGGGCGAGTTGTACCTGCTTTGATGGTTGTATCCTTGTCCGAAGTTGTTGTTTCGTCCTTGTCCAGAGTTGTTGTTTCGAGCTCGTCCAGCGAAGTTGTTGCCTTGATTTGAGGGGTTGCCTTGAAATCTTCCACTATTGACTAGATCAACACTTGATGCTTTGGGTTGATTGACTTCATTCGACCTTTTCTTTCCTGCTTCGACGGAGAGGCACAAGGAAACTACTTTCTCTAGCGGCAGTTCCTCGCCGAGGAGACGTTCTCTCAGTTGAACATTATGGATGCCTATGATGATTCGGTCTCTGATAAGTGAATCTCTCAGCTTTTCGAATCCACAATCTTCGGCTAATTTTCTAATTGCCATATAAAATTGATCGAATGATTCCCCTTCTTGTTGATCTCTCGTATTGAACAAGTATCTACAGTAAGCTATGTTTAGTTTAGGCTTGGCAAATTCAGTTAGAACTTTTAGAAGACCATCTACTGTTTTCTTTTGAGCGTCAGTAATGATGAGGGTGTTAAGAATTTCTTCTGCGTCAGTGCCTAATATATTGAGAAAGATAGCGACTTGGACTTTCTCATCTTTCTTGTCTAATTCGTAGCCTATACTGTAATTGGACCACTGTTTTTTGAAACGTTTCAGGTTTTCATGGACGTTTCCACTGAGAGAAAGGGGATCGGGAGTTCGCAATTCCATTGTTTTAATTGCGAGTATGAGAGATTCTTGAATGCAATAATTGCTTAGCCTATAATAATGATAGGTGCCTCATCTGGTACTGTTATCAGTCATAACCTTGAAGCGCATGGAGACTAAGACATTATAAAAATTAAAAACAATTCGAACTAAATCGATAGGATAAAATTCACTGAAATCACTGTAGCTGTGGATTCTGCTTGAGCGTCATGTCGGGGGATGAGTTAAAACAATCTATTTACCCATTTTCTTCTGATGATCTGCGGCAGTGAGCATGGTGGCCTAACAGGTGCATGGCCAGTCCCCAGTTCTTAGCTGATCAGGTGAATTCGCTGATTTCCGTCACGTTATCCTCGTCGCCATGATGTGGGTCGGTAGCCGAAATAAATGAGACGCTGATGATCACTCAAAGATGTTTATTATAGCGAGATCACGACTTGAACAGGAAGGGCCTGGCTCTGGCTAGTGGCCTGTCTGTCTGTGGGTGCCCCGTTGCCAGGTCGGGCACACACCCTATTGAGTAAGGCTATGATGCCCCATAGCCTTACTGCAGTATGCATACATGCTTATGGGTCTCAGGGCTCATGTCTTGATTCGCATTGTTCTGTTTGACAGTAATACGTCCATTTAAGTCAAGAAGAAGAAGCCAATGTCTGAAGGGCAGGGCTAATTACAAATCGGAGAAGGCTATCAACTTTCTGCACCCCTGGAGTCTATACCAGATAAGTTTACCCACTTGTAAACTGCAACAGTAGATCGTCCAATGTACCTTTCATTTTCAAAGTAAATGGAAGAATGAAGATGGTGGTTCTTCTTTCGCAGTCTGAGAGCGAGTAAACTTATGTAGCATGTGCTATATTCATTTTTTAAAGAACCCATACACTTGCTTAGTTCTTACTTGATCATTTCATCAGTTAAGACAATGTTTTAAAGAGCTCTAACATACAACTTTGTGGAGCCAGCAACAAGCCCTTCAATGGAAGCTTGTAACAGCATGATAAGACATTGAAATGTACTATACTGCTTACTTGAGATAGGGCTATGTCTTCTCTTGTCGTGTCGGCAAACATTCATTAATGAAGCTGTATAAAGGCATAAGTGCGACGTCAAATGTTCTAATTGGCAATCAATCATACTTACTGCGATGGCATGCCTTGAACTTCAGAAACTAGCAAATAACGATAACATACCTTTTATTACCACAATCCGGAAAATCAAAAGAACTTGATTCATAAACAAACAAAACACTGAACAAGGTGGAAGCACTTACAAGGTTTTGTGCTTATATTTTGGTTTGACATAAAGAGCGCGCCAACAATAATAAGAAACAGCTGACTATATCCAGTGATGCCAGAGGCCAAAATATTCACTTTTCAACTCATCTACATTCCTCTTGTCAAATTTTGAGTTCGTCCGTCGTTTTGTTTTTTTTTCTTCAGATAAGGAAAACTCGATAAGTGTCTAGAAAACGAAGGAAGTCCGGTTGCGTTTCATAATCTTTAAAACATCATATCTCCGTTAATAATAAGTTTTGAAACATCAAACACCAAAAGGTATGGCCTTTGAATCTTGAAGAATCATCATGCCAAATTTCAGCATGACCCGTGGAGTAGTTTTTTTGCTACAGGGGGGCAAAAGTTAAAAAGTAGCGAAAATCGGCAATTCCTAATATTTTCTGTATATTATACTGTCTGCCGATGGAGATTGGCTTATCGCCCCGCATGTGTCTGGTTGCTGCAGAGTCGTTTGAAGGCGTTTTCTGGTCTTACTCTGGGAGGCTTTGCTCAGTTGTTCTCCTTATATTTATATTTTTAGCTTGGCGGAGAGATCTACCGATCTTTGTGATGCTAAAATTTTAAAAATTCTGTATTTTATGACATGCTGAAAATTTCATGATAAACATCCATTCAGAGGCTAAACATCGATGATGCACATTTTTACAGAGAATTTTTTCTCACTGGAGCAATGAATTATTTTGTCCAAAATTAGGAAAATAATCAGAATTTCAGTTTAAGGAAGGATATTTGACCATTTGTCTAGGCATTTGACAAAAATGCCTGATTTTTCTATTTGCTTACGACACATGAATAGCAACCATTTCAAGAGCTGCAATGGAGTTCCATCTTGTTGTTTTTTTTTTCACCTCTCAAATTTGGAAGAGAATTTTTATCTTAAAGGGAACTCGATGTCAAGTTTGGCTTGACTTCCCTCTCCTGTTTTCAAAGGACCTCTAGACCCCCGGCTCTAGGCCTCTAGATGCTTGAGATTACCTGTGAATGGCCCCCTACTTAGGGTATGTATCTGGTGGGATTGACTGAAGATCTTTGACCATGTCATTCTGAATCATGGCCGTACATCCTGTTATGCTATCATAAATTATTGATGTGTAAATGTAGTATAAAAAGAAATTTCAAAATGTATCTTTTCTTGATTCTGTCTTTTTATTTTCTGATTAAAATATTAATAATTCTAAAATGCTGTTGTGTTTCAACCGCTCTGCTTATGAGCACATGTTTATTTGTATTATTTTATTTTGTCTGTTCTAGTTGCTGAAGCAAAATTCTGAGAATTTTGAAAGAAAAGAAAGGATGCAATCACAATTACAACAAGCAGAGAAAGAGTACCAAGGTCACATCTTAAAATCATTAGGTGTAATCAAGGAAGCCTCTAATTCGTTTAAGAAGGTATGTAAGGAAATTTTTCACAAGAAACAGATCTATACTATATTTCTGTAGACTTCATTTTCTCAATTGAAAAACTCTGCAGTTAAAGCTGCTGCTCCTCAGCATCTCAACAGCTCCATCCAAAACAGAGGTTTTATATTTACTCAATATTTTATGATGCCACAAAAAATAGTAAGGTATCAGTAGAAATATGGCAATTTCAGTTTTTCAATGACATGTTGGTTGTTTATTCTCTTGCATTTGAGCAGTGTTGAATTGAATTTTACTAGAGCCACAACATGGCTTCGAAAAATTTCTATTTGCCGTCATTCAGTTGCTTAAAATTAAAGAAAGTAATATCCGACCAAGGATAATTTTTTTTTTCTTTCTTTCTTTCTTTCTGCTTATAACGTAGTAGAGATACATTCATGGTTAACTGAGTGTCTGAGTTGGCGAAAAATTCTTTGATATGACTGTAGTTAAATTTAATTTGTATGTGGCCAGTTTCTTCAAGTGCAAATTTGTTAGACTGTTGGAAAGATAAAAAAGACCTTTCCAGTGGCATAATTGAATTTTTACTAGCAATAATTTGTTGTTGAAAAAAATTGATATCTCACTAACTGCATGATTTTTACTAGAAAAAAACGTAGAGGTCAAATCATTTTTTGAGGAGCTTGAAAAACGCGCTTCAATTTTTTGCTAAAAACTGTATTTTTACTCTCCCTGAAGAATCCAAAGAGTTGAAAGAGATACGTAATACTCTTCATCTAACTTTTCCTCAACAGAACTATGTAACGTTCTAAAGTCTGTAGTTTAGTTTGGAGAACATAGTTCTAAGGAAAAACTATTACGGAAATAAAGTTCTCGATAAGAAACCGCTTTTTCTTGCTCATCCATGAAAGCATCAATGAGCATAGAGAAACTAATTGCTGATGCATTGCTTTGAACTTCCCTAATTGCAATTAACTCCTTAGGATATTTAAGGATATTTCATACAGTGAACTTAAATGGACATATTCATGCGGAAAGAAATTATCTACATGAGGTTTGCGTGCAACATAGTTCCTTTTAGCATTAGTACGTCCTAATGTCAATTTGGCTACCTACCTTCGTAAATACTCTCAATTACTTGCCATAACGGAAAGTAATGGGTCTCTTGCACGCGAGAGATACAGCCACTGAATACATTTTCCAAGAGTAAATTCGTTCGAAAATCACATAGGGTACATCATGAAAGTTTGAAATCCACTCCTCACGGTGCAATCTGCATAGTTTGTCACACACTTTTTCAAATTTACCGCGCAGAAAAATTGCCTGCAGGGGAGTTTTTCTTGGTGGCGGGCAGTCAAGTTTACCTGGAAAGAGACCTAACCTTAATAAACAAACTATTTCACAAACCGGTATAAACTCGCCATGCATAAGGTTTCAATTGATTTAAAGCTTTTGTTTTTGCAAAATAAAGAAAGAAAAAGGAAACCAACGCACAGTGGTAAAAAACAGATCATGGGGCAGCGTAAATCTGTAACTCGGAGGGAAATGCATATTTTTGCTTGAAATTTTGCCCAGATCTTCTTGAGGATATGCTTAGCCCGCATACGAAAGATCAGGAATTTGAACTCTCGTTTTTAGTCTCAAAATGGCGTCCAAAATTCAAAATGGCGAATTGTTAAAAATCCCCAAGCTCAGTATCTTGCTCCAGGATTTTAATTTGGCAAGTGGGGTATCGATTCCTATGTAATTCTACTCGTAAAACTTGAATTTTTGGTCGAAAATTCGATACAACCCACTAGGTAGGCCAAAATTTGAAAAATAGGCAATTTTCAGGCAAATTTAGGCCAAAAATGTGTATATCCGACAGATTTCAACAAGTGAGGTATGGTTTCATGGGTTACTTTCGTCAAACATTTCTATGTACGACTAAAACACTACGCAGAATCATCCTCAGTAGTCTAATTTGGAATTTTGGCGCCAAAAATGGGCCTATTTGGGCCTAAAAGAGGAAATTCGTTCATATAGCCGTGTAGGGTATCAATTTTATGGTATTTTTCGACTAAAATTATAAATTTGGGATTAAAACTACATGAAAATCAAAATTTGGCTTATTTTACCAAACTCGAATGGTACCAAAATTTGATTCATAATGGTGAAAATCCTAATGAATCACTTTTAGATGGACAAGTAACGACTACCATCGAATACCACGTTCAAATACACACATGTCTAAAGTAGAAGACACCTTTTAACTAAAAAACTCAACATTCCTTGCGTACAGCTGCGTTTTGACTTTTTATGAGCCACAATTGGGGCAAAGACAGGCCATTTAAGGTAAAAATTGACTGGTTAAACTTACCAGGGCAAGTGAGGGATCAATCAAATAGTAATGTTTGACAATTCTTTTAGGTTTTGAATGAAGATATTGAAAAATTTACACGTGAGTCCGTTAGTCCCTTCAAGTCCCAAGAAGATCCAAAATATGCCCTAAAAATGGCCAATTTGGACCTATGAGTAAAACATGAAATTCGTCTATGTTGCCGTGTAGGGTATCGATTCTATGGTATTTTTTGACAAAAGTTACAAAGGGGTTCAAATTACATGAAAATCAAAGTTTGGCCTATCAGACCAAACTCGAATAATGCCAAAAGAGCCGTATGCAAAAACGACATTTTTCGCCCCCCCACTAAAACTTATTCAAACTTCGTCTATCAGTTACTAATTCTGGAGCGCTTCTTTCCCCAAATTTTCAGACCCCCAAAAAATTTTGGGGGGGCGCTAGGGGGGGTGGAAGTCAAAACCTGTGAACCTCGATATCTTTCGAACGAAACAAGATATTGAGGCCCGGGTTGGACGAAAAATCGTCTAAAATTGCATACTTTAAGACTCTAAAGGTCAAAATCCCAAAATTAAATTTTTAAATTAACCTACGTGCTTTTTTTCAGTTTTTGAGGAAAAACAATTTCTTTTAAACAGATTAAACTGAAATTTCACATTTTTTTATTTGAACCAAAGCCAGTTTTTTAAATTGCTCGTCTTTTTCCGCTTCCAACGAGTGGTCGTATAAGCTGGGGAACCGAACGGTTCCGGAGTTATGATCGATTGAAGTTTCCGCTCAACGCGCGCCGACCGATTTTCGTGCGCAAAAAAGTCGGATTTGACTGTTATTAAATCAGATTGAATGTTCAAACTGAGCAAAATGCATTATTAGGGACTCTTGAGGGTCGCTGAGTTCAGAAATTACAGATACTTCCAAAAAATTCACGTTTTCAAAATTACAGCTCCGTACAGGACCACTGAGCGGCCGGTCGGCGCTCAGTGGGCCTCTAAAATAGCGCTACGGAGCTGTAATTTTAAAAACGTGAATTTTTGGGAGTATCTGTAATTTCTGAACTCAGCGACCCTCAAGAGTCCCTAATAATGCATTTTGCTCAGTTTGAACATTCAATCTGATTTAATAACAGTCAAATCCGACTTTTTTGCGCACGAAAATCGGTCGGCGCGCGTTGAGCGGAAACTTCAATCGATCATAACTCCGGAACCGTTCGGTTCCCCAGCTTATACGACCACTCGTTGGATGCGGAAAAAGACGAGCAATTTAAAAAACTGGTTTGGGTTCAAATAAAAAAATGTGAAATTTCAGTTTAATCTGTTTAAAAGAAATTGTTTTTCCTCAAAAACTGAAAAAAAGCACGTAAGTTAATTTAAAAATTTAATTTTGGGATTTTGACCTTTAGAATCTTAAAGTATGCAATTTTAGACGATTTTTCGTCCAACCCAGGCCTCAATATCTTGTTTCGTTCGAAAGATATCGAGGTTCACAGGTTTTGACTTCCACCCCCCCTAGCGCCCCCCCCCCCAAAATTTTTTGGGGGTCTGAAAATTTGTGGAAAGAAGCGCTCCAGTATTAGTAACTGATAGACGAAGTTTGAATAAGTTTTAGTGGGGGGGGCGAAAAATGTCGTTTTTGCATACGGCTCTTTGATTCATAATGCTGAAAATCCTAACAAATCACTTTTAGACGGATATCACCGCTCAACATGGGGTCTGTCCATCGAACCAAACAAATTTTTTTCGATTCCTAGGTGCTAAAGAAGTCCGGAAATGCCCATATTAACTTCAGAAAAATTGTCTGGTGCTCAGGACGCCGCCATTTTGAATTTTTCAAAATTGAGAAAACTCACGATTAGAAAAAGCGCATTTTTGCTAATTTTAGAAGAAGCTTTGCTTCATATCTCCAGCCACGATTATCTGAGGAAAAAACTGTTATGCTCATTGAAAAGAGCGTAAACTTTACCTCTAGCAATCTTTTGTCAATAGTTCCTAAACTTGATTTAATCTTGTGAAACAGCAATTTATTATCTCTATTTCTCTACCCTTGAATTGTGATTTTTTTCGACAATATCCTTTGAAAATCAATACAAAAAGAAGAAAAAAACTAAAAACGTGGCCCAAACTGTGTAACTAGGTGCTAAACAGTGCATTGCCCATACTATTTGGGGTGGGGGGTTAGGGGGGGCCCAAAGCCAAAAAGTTCAAAAACTTTGAGCTCTAATTAGGATCAGTACAAAACTGATGGAGGAGAGTGTTCAGTTCAGGCAGTTTGCATTGGAATATTGAGTTGAGGTCTCATCAAGAGATCTATAATGTTGGGTCTATTCTTACCTCATTAGTAGATCACACTCATCAGTGAACCCAACTGAAAATCTTGCAAAATCCAAGACGGGATCAAAGCACATGTTCGAAGTACAAGTTTTGTGCCCGCCCAGCAATGGTTCGTTGCAGCAAAGTTGTAGCAACATCGCAAAAAGTCGAGTAACGTTCCTGGCTAACGTTGTCACAACGTTGGGAAGACTTACTTTTGTCCACGGAGCGCAACCTTTAAGTTAACGTTGTCGCAACGTTTCGAGATAACGTTGTTGCAACGTTGCTAAAAAGTTGTGACAACGTACACTGAAAAAAAAATTTCGGCTATTTATTTTAGGTGCACTCTACATTTTTACTCTTGGAATTCAATGGGACTGCAGTGAAGTGTTTCTTAGGCACCCGAAATTCACTCTAAGTCCGAAAGTAGCCGCGCTCTGCCCGGGTTCCCAAGCGGGCTCCCATCGAAGTACTAACTACGCCCGACGTTGCTGAACTTCGGTGGTCGTCCGTGTGTCGCACCCACTCAGCCACGGACGCTCGCGTGAGGAAGATCAGTTATTTAGCATTAATAAACATCCCCAGATCTGGTTCAATGATAGACAGCAATGATATTCTTGCATTTCTGTGCATAAGTCTTTAACAAAGGACACTTAAAATAATGTTAGGAAGATCAAGTTTTTGAAAGAAAGGAGTATGAAAAAAAAATTTAAAAAGAATTGAATAAATTTATTCATTTTATATAAATAAAATTATTATTATTTTAATTATTTATTACCTATATTATGTTATAATTATTTATTATTTTTATCTTTATTATTAATATTATTATTATTATTATAATTATTTAGTATTTTTATTTTTTATTTTATTATTTTCTACTTAATTTTATTTATTTTCATTATTTTATTTTTTATTTTTAAATTAATTTTTTAAATTTTTTATTTTTCAATTTATATATATATATATAAGGGTGTGTGTGTGTGTGTGTGTGTGTGAGGGTGTGTGTGTGTGTGAGGGTGTGTGTGTGTGTGTGTGACATTGTATGAGGGCGCATTCCCTTAAATTGATTGGAGAAAATCATCTGTTGAGAAACAACAGAAAGGAGAACACCTAAAATTTCAGTGTAAAAGTGTCCCCTCCAATTTGCAGCACATCATCTGCTTGCACGCGCTCTTTGCCAAGCTATGACTTTTTTTATCAAACGTTACAGCAATGTAAACGAAAACGATTTGACAACAGAGCAATAAAACGCTTTTACAACGTTTGCGCAACACATTAGAACAACATTGTTTAATAACGTTTTAACGAACATTTTTTAAAGCGTTTTTACAACTTTTTTAATAACGTTGTAAAAACGCTATAAGAAAATGTTGATTTATAACTTTTTCTAAACGTTTTGACAACAATCTAAAAAATTTTGCAACTTAACATTTTTCGAAACATTGTTAAAAAACGTTGCGGCAACGAACTCGCAACCATCCTTGCCGGACGGGTACTGCAAGACAGTAAGTTTCGTACTGGTGCTCATTAGAGCTCAACATTTTTTATTCTGATTGAAAATTTTTGAACTTTTTGGCTTTGGTCCCCCCCCCCGCCCCCCACCCCCCTACCGCAAATAGTGTGAGCAATGCACTATGCACTGTGTTGGATATACACATCTTTGGCCTAAATTTGCCTCAAAATTGCCTATTTTTCGAATTTTGGCCTTTACAGTGGGTCTAATCGAATTTTCGACCAAAAACTCGAGTTCTACGAGTAAAATTACATAGGAATCGATACCTCACTTGCCAAATTAAAATCCTGGAGCAAGATGCTGAGCTTTGGGATTTTTAACAATTCGCCATTTTGAGGCCGAAAACGAGAGTTAAAATTCCTAATCATCGTATGCGGGCTAAGCATATCCTCAAGAAGATCTGTGCAAAATTTCAAGCAAAAATATGCATTTCCCTCTGAGTTACAGATTTTACGCTGCCCCAGGGTCTGTTTTTTCCCACTGTGCAACGCATGGAAACGATTGAAACTATATAATAGGAGAAGTTAGTGAAATTGTCTGTTTATTCAGGCTAGTTGCTCTTATTCTTCTGCCTGTGCAAACCTGTTTGGCAGTGACTGAGGAAAACTGCCTTCAGGCGCGGGAAACTCGGAAAAGCGTGTTACAATCTACGCAGATTGCGCACTATGGAATAGATATCTGACCTTTTTGATGTGTCCAATGTGATTTTTGTACGATTCTACCTTTGAAGAGGTTATTTATTTGGCTGTTTCTCTTGTGTCCAACAGACCCGTTTTTTCTCTATTTCCCCTGTATGTCCAACAATATTTGTCTTTAATCTTTACCTTCCTTGAACTTGAATTTTTTGGTTTTAATTTTAATATCTAGTCAAAAGAAGACAGTGCCAACTTCATTGTACATAAGGGTGATAATCTTGGTCAAGATGCTCTTAGGGGCTCAAAGACAGATGCTTCTTCAGTACGAGGTCTTACTGAAAGCTGCAAGAGTGAATCACAAAAAGAAGACAAATCCGCAACTAAAGTGACCTTCGAGGATGGAGGTTTAAAGGTATGTGGCAATTCATGAATTCTTTTCATCTTTAAAAAAATTCATCCAGAATCCTTCTCATTTCAAAGAACAAGACATGCGGACTAAATAAGTTCACCGCAAGCTCTTATACAGGGTGGCCCAGACCTACCGTACCAGGCCTTTTTTCCGGTTAATTTGGGTCGCACAAAGTCCAGGATCGCGGAGATGAATAGGGAATCGACCCCAAGGAATCCGAATTTCATGGTCTCAGAGCCCCCCTGGTCTCCCTTGGGGGGTAAAAGGGGGGTCAGTACTTCAAAAGTCAGGGTTTATGTCAAAATTTTGAAATTATTTCATTGGAATCAGAACGTATGGAAATTTTTAACATGAATCGACACCAAGAAATCCAAAATTGGCCCATCCGGGTCCAAAACACCGACCCCTAAAGGTGGGGGACGGAGCCCCCTTTCAAAAAAATTCAAATTCGTTAAATTGACGTGGAGACTCGGAAAACTGAGTATTCATGGGTAATCGACCCCAAGGAATCCAAATTTGAGTGTCCTGTTGTCCTCAGAGACTTTACTGATGGGGCACCCTCCTGATGGGGCACTGATGGGGTAACCTCCACACCGGTTAAATTTGAAAGTTCAGAGACCCCCTGATGGGGCACCCTCCTGATGGGGTAACCTCCACACCGGTTAAATTTAAAAGTTCAGAGACCCCCTGTGCCCCATCAGTAAAGTCTCTGAGGACAACGGGACCCTCAAATTTGGATTCCTTGGGGTCGATTACCCATGAATACTCACTTTTTCCGAGTCTCGACGTCAATTTAACGAATTTGAATTTTTTTGAAAGGGGGCTCTGTCCCCCACCTTTAGGGGTCGGTATTTTGGACCAGGATGGGCCGATTTTGGATTTCTTGGTGTTGATTCATGTTAAAAATTTCCGTACGTTCTGAATCCGATGAAATAATTTTAAAATTTTGACATTAACCCTGACTTTTGAAGTACGGACTTCCCTTTTACTCCCCAAGGGAGACCAGGGGGGCTCTGGGACCATAAAATTCGGATTCCTTGGGGTCAATTCCCTATTCATCCCCGCGATCCTAATTAACCGAAAAAAAGGCCTGGTACGGTAGGTCTTGGCCACCCTGTAATTACTCCTTTTAATTCCTTGCGTTTGGCCTCAACATTTATGGTGAGTAGCATTTTGAACGGCTTATTGTCATCGCTCTGCAATGTGTGATAGAGGTCCTACTTGCAGGCCCTCCATGGAGGCAGTCATAGAGTACTGGTTTGATCCATAACTGATCCAGAATGATCTCAAATTCTATCACAAAAAATTTCTACGTGATGTTTTTGTTTGTTCCTTTTACTTTTTATTAACCCCAAATTAATTTTACGCGGTTCAAGGCTCCGAATCGTTGCAATTAAAGTACACATTTTCCCCTGTAATGATCGGAAAAAACGGGCGGAGAGTCAAAAAGCGCAAACCAAAGATAATTTTTAGGCGATATGTTCGTTTATTCCGTTTTCTTTATTATTTTTATCAACATACAAAATTAAACACCGCCCGAGTTTTCGAAAAAGTACATGGTTCCCATGACAGTTCATTTTATCGCGGGGTGACTGCAACAACCGACTTGTAACAATATTGACAACTTCAGTCTTATCCTGACAACACAGATGTAACATTCTATCCATATTAGCAACATTGTATCAACATATGTCAACAAAGTAAGAACATTGCATCAAGAAATCGTGCTGAGCGGGAAGGATATTACATATTCATTTTTATGTTAGGCCAGCTAGGCAAGACGACTTGAGGTGCTATCTTCTGCATGCATTCGTGGTTACATTTTGGACACACATTTAACACATTTTCAGGTTAGTAGCGGCAGGAAAAGGAGGTATTTTCCTTAGAAGCTCTTTTTTCACTGGATCTCTGGCGGAATAATGCTAGTTACAGCTGCCTTGTCTGAAACTGCGTCATTTTTTGCGCACTTACGGCTTTCTCATGTTTTGTTTTCATGAAAATAAGATGAGTTTTGCTGTTTTAGCTATTTCAGTGGATTCATATATAAGCAATCAGACGAAATTTCAAGGAAACTTTTTTTCGAAAAGTTGACAGTTATGTCTCTCTTCGCTATCACAAGAGAGTAGTGAAACAGCAAAGTGGAGGCTTTCGTCACCAGATTGGGAAATTCCAAAGAACATCTTGTTATCGAACGGATCTGAGTCTACCTAAGTTGGCTATCCTCGTCTTAAATTCCAAACCTGAAAATAACTTGGGCTGAAGAGAGTTTGTAAAATGGAATATTTAACTGAAAGCATGGCAAACTCACCCAAAAGATGCCTAAATTTGATGTCAGGGCGTAGGTAGATTTGATGAGAAATCTTAAACTCCTGAGTCCCATGAAAACTTTGGAATCTACCAACTTACAGTTTCTCTTCATCCTCACTTTCGCTTTTGGTGGAGCACAAAACTTACCATTGGTGAAAAATTGGATCCCCTGACATATAACCTCTATGTCATTGAATTTTACGTTTTTTAGGGTATTAAAGAACTGTGTTGGAGGATAACACAGCTTGAAAATGTGATCCGAGAAAATGCATGTGCCACCGAGTCTGCAAATGTTTCTAAAAGCAAGGAAGTTTTAAGGCATGAAATCAGAAACCTGCGTCGGACTAAAGAATGTCTCATTGAAGAGCGAGATAAACTCAGTAATAAAATGAAGGTAAGTTATTTAAAAGTCGCACGTTGTTTTTATTTGCATGAATAGATTAAAAAATCTTTAATAATCAGAAGATCTACCGCCAACCTTCTCCACTTAAGTTTCCACTGAAATGATAATGAATGTCAATAGTTGATGGGCGCTAGCACATATGACTAATTACCTATCGTATGAAATTTAAGAAATTGGTAACAGAATCAAATTAGCCAAACTATTGTGGGAATATTAGTTCTCTGAAATCATTTCATGCATACATGTGGATCCCTAAAATAGAAAAAGACTCATCCCCAATCAAGGCCATCACTGGAGTAACCGCCTGTATCTAACATAGTTTTGGAAGATCGCATTTTTATTTTTTTATTTATATATTTGATTTTCAACGGGCGAACCCAATTACGATTAAACAGTTATTACAAGATGACAGACCATAATAAAATAAAGAAAATAATAACACAACGTAAAGAAAATAGCAACAAATTTCTTTCACCTTGCATGCTTGTTGTGGATCAACAACAAGCAAAGTGAAAGAAATTAGTAGAATTCAAATAATTCATCTCTGTCCTGAAGCTTAAGGTGAGAAATGGGAACACCAAACAGATCACATGAGATATAGCAACGATCACCCAAAATACTGAACCTTACCATAGGTGAGAGATTATGATAGCTGCTATGATCCTGTGAAATGCTAAAGAGCATTCAAACCCTTCTAAGAACCTAATCAGGAATATGAAAATTAATTAACCAACTAAATCAGAACAATCGTTAAAACCATTTGAACAGAAACATGAGATCACTGAATTCATGGTTGGACCTAAGGTTACAAACTCGCAGATATTTGCTAATATCCCCATTATCGTGATCAAGGTGGGAGAGAGAAAAGTCGATTTTCCTCGACGCCATTCTGACAAATAGATGTTGTACACCCTCAAGCTTATGTGAGAGAACTTAAACAGATGGGGACTATATTTGGGATGCATACATTAGAATAGGCTTGACGTGTGCAACATACAGAGTGTCCCAAAAGTCCGTACCCCCCCCCCCCTTTGTAACTTTTGAACGGTTAGAGATACAAAAACGAAACTTTGGGAATGTTTCTATCTTAAAGGAGACCATCTTCTAGGGGGGGTCAACATTTTTGTTCCCTCCTCAGGGGGGGCGCAGGGGCCCCCAACTTTTTTTTTCAAATGGTAACCCCTATCTTGTGCTACATCATTTGAAAGAGTATAATAAACTATAATTTTGGCGCAAACTGCAGATCAATATCTTAATTTTTGACCAAGTTACGATAGGTCAAAGGTCAAATTAGACCTATTTTCAAAAAATCATAACTCTGGTTCAAATTATCGTAAAGAAGAAAATAAAACGGGAAAATTTACCAAATTGTAGACTCTTTCAAATTAAAATCACAGAAATTACTTCAAACTAATTTCAAGGGAGCTTTAGGACCCCTAAATACGTCATTTTAAAGGTCATGCAATTTTCCCGCGAAATGAGCCAATTTCCCCTTACTTTGCGTCAACATTATCTTGGTAAGTTCAAAATTAGTTCAACATTGCGTCTTCAAGTCCTCAAATTTCGGGCAAAGTTCAAAAAGCGAAATTTAAGGTGATTCAATTCAACCATTTAAATTTCGTTTTTTTTAAAACTTTATTGGTGAGCATTGTTGTATGGAGGCACCTTCTACTCATAAGGAAGGACATCGAATTCGGAGAAGATAACATATTTCGATTTCTTAACATGAACAACTAAATCATTAACAGGTAAGCAGTTTACAACATTATTCAAGTCAAACTCCAATCTCCAGATACTAACAACTCATACAATATGTGATGACAGTTTAAAATCATCAGCAAAGAGTAAACATTCAGAGAATTTCACTGCTTTAAAAATGACATTAATAAAAATAGGAATAGGAAAGCAGCGAGGTGAGAGCCCTGCAGAACTCCAGAGAGTATATGGGTTACAAATGAGTAAGAGTTCTTAATCCTAACGCTCTGTGTTCTTCTGTCCAGGTAAGGTTGAAACCATCAATAAAGAAACCCAGCAATTCTGAACAATCTGAGCTTATTGAGTAACAATTTTTAAGTTTACAGTATCAAAAGCCTTTTGTACATTTAGGTAAATGACATGAGTCGGTGTAACACGGAAGAAACCATCGGTGATTTGTTAAAAAAGAACCATAAGATTACTAGCAGTTGTCTCTGTAGCATGAAACCATGTTGTTCAGGGGCCAATTGCAGAAAAATGTGGCTTAATGTCTTATGATAGACTACACAATCAAAGGTCTTGGCAAATACATCAAGGACGGTAGTGAGCCTATAATTTCTTATATCAGATTTATTGATGTCCTTAAGTACAGGAATAATAAGGCTTTCATTCCATGCACTAGGGAACACACCAGAGGTAATTGATTCATTAAAAATTTTCATAAAGGGCTTAGCGAGTTAGCTGCCACAGGATTTGACAAAGTGAGGGCGGATTCCTGGCCGGGGGAAGATGCTGAATCAATTTTCAAAATACGAGGTCTGTTAGATAAGAAACAGGATTTTGGTGATAACTAGTACATCATGCGGCCGAATTATGTTTCCTTGGACTTTCTTGATAGCTGAAAATATACTTGAGAACGCTACATTCACGAATTTGTAAAATTTTAATTAGCTTTGTTGGTAAGTGGTTTGAAGTAAAGCAACCTCATGGGTGTTCAGCGATTTTCACGTATGACCAAACCTTTCGCTCTTTTTTTGGTCTTGCACAACCTTTTTCAACCCGCACGGATGGTTGGAGTTTTGTCTCCATATTGTAGCCGCACTTCAAATTAGTCAACGGAAATTATCTTATCCAAAAATGCAGGATCATTGTCAGAACGTTCAAGAAGCTCAAGGAAAATTTACACTTGGTTGGATTTTTGTTCAACGGACAACAGTCGCGGGACAAGTTTAGCTGAAACTCGATGCATGTGTAAATATTCTATCAAAATTGTATGTACGTACAGAGCCCTCAGCAAGCTCGAAACGACCATTTTCGAGCACTTTTGCCCCCACTTTTTCCGCGTGTCAAATGTCAGGTGCCATTGATGGTCGATTCCCGTGCTCCTCATCTTCGACAAACTCCTGACCAGTTTTGAACCATTTAAACCGTTTAAAACTCTAAGAACAACTTATACAATGATCTTGGTAAACTTTACTTAGCATACCAAAAGTTTCGATACAAGGTATACCGAGTTCAAAATAAAATTTAATGATAAATCTTTGCTCTATCAGTGATCGCATGATGTAAATTGCAGAACGCCCCTGACTTACTCGTATTCAAGGTGACACAGAATGAACACTGATCAAAATAAGCAAAATCTGTGAATCTAGCGTTCTTTAGTAAGCTATCAGCTATCAGGAAATTCCAAGAAAACCTAATTCGGATGCACAATGCGCTGGTTATCACCAAAATCCGGTTTCTTATCTAACAGACCTCATAACGCTTTAAACATCACTCTCTGTGATCAAGATTGAGCTGAGTGCACTATCACATTGATGATCATTGGAATGACTGGAGGTGAATTATCCCTTAATGAGCTACTGAGGAATTCAACATAAAGATTGGCAATCACATTTCCTGAGGTTGCAGATTCATCAACTAGTATTACAAAGGCTGTCCCACAATGAGCCGGACTGGTGCTGTAATCCGAAAACGAATCAACAAATTGAGCTGATCTTGAGCTCATTCGAAAGATAAGGTCAAAAAGAAGTGATTGCGCTGAAGATCATTTTATTTGAATGAAAATTGATCGAGTTATGACACTTTAAAAACATTTTATAAGAAAATACCCTACCGTTTTTCTCAACTTGTTTCTTTTTGATTTACGCATCAAACTTTCCCGTTGATCTCTTCCGATCAAAAACAACTTAGCAACAAATGCTAATTGCTTGTTTTGATTCAGATAGCATGGTTTATCAGCACATTGTAACGGATAAAACCACGGTGGACAGCGATTAATATTGCAAATTTCTGACAGATTTTCGCAAGAAGTATCACGAAAACGTTCGCAATTGAAAGCAACCTGTAGCTGAATGCTCCATCAGGACACCGCGCATCCTCACACCTCGAATGCCACCTGCAATTTTATGTTCAAGAATGGAGGTGAGACCCTCCGCTCGCCACACAGCCCCGATCTCGCTCTGTGCGACTTTTGGTTGTTCCCGCAATTGAAGAAAGCTCTCAGCAGCAAGCAATTTGAATCACAGGACGCAATCAAGAACGGAGTCCAAGCATTCTTTAAACGCATCTCCAAAGAAGATTTCCAGAAAACGATCTTGACAAAATGGAAGGAGTGGATGGAAAAATATATTCGATTTAAAGGCAAATACTTTGAGGAAGAGAGAGAAGTACTTGAAGACCCAGAGGAAAGCGAAAATGAGGATTGAACTTTGAATTTGTTGAAAATAATTTTTTATTTTAAAAAACGGTAAGGTGTTTTCTTACAACAAGTTTTTAAAGGGTCATAACTTGGTCAATTTTCATCCAAAGAAAGTAATCTTTAGTGCAATCGCTAACATTTGACTTTATCTTTCGAATGAGCCCAAGATCAACTCAATACATTGATTAGTTTTCGAGTTACAGCACCAGTCCGGATCATTATGGGACAGCCTTTGTATTTCACTAGGTCAAGACTTACCATCTAAGTTCATCATCATTTATACATTTATAAAAATATTTTGGGTCGTTGGAAATACTTTGTTTAACATCATTGATGTACTTAATCAGATTGATAAAGAGTTTTAATAGGAGAGCACTGTTTTGTGAAAAGTTCATATTTTTAGTCAGTCTTTGACTGTGTGTAGCGTGTATGAAGTACTTTCTCATGAATACTAGCACTCTGTAATTTGGGATTGAATCATGTAGGAAAAGTACATGGTTTGGCGGTTCTTGTTGGTACACAAGCATTAAAAACAACATTTAGATTCTCTAATAATTTTATGGCCATCTCGTCAGATGTACTGCACAATATATCAGTCCAATTTACAGAATGCAGTGATTTTTTGACAATATCATAATTTGCTTTGAAGAAGATGAAAGTATGGCATTTGTAACTCAGAATCATCGTACAAGGGTTGATTTAAAGTAATAGACAACGGTGGGTGATATGGATCATTACCAGATAGCGGGTTACTACATGACTCTGCTTTCCCTTGAAAGTTAGTAAATACGAGATCAAGTGTGTTAGAACTAACATTAGGGTAATCGTTAAGTTGGGAAAGACCAAGAGCAGAGAACTTACCAAGTAGAAGCGATACTACTTCTCTCACTGTACAAGAAAGGTTTTAACTAGATAATGAGAAAGATGAAATTAACATAAAAAAGTAAATCAATCGAACAGAAAAAAAAGAAAATCTTTTAAGAAAAACTAATGAAGTGACTAATGGAGGCTCGCTAAGCGAGCCTTAAAGTCAGCCGTGAGGCGGGTGAATGGGGTTGCAAGAGGGAACCCCCTGCCAAGTTGTGAGAACTCTTGTGCCCTGAACAGCTAGTATCTATAACCATGTAGGATGTCGAGTTTTTAAGTTTTGAGAAAATCGAGTTTCAAGTTTAAAAGATTTGTGCTTTTTGACGTCCTCAAGGCGAAAGAGGTTTTAGTTATAAGGTTATTATGGAACAAATCCTTCTCCTAAAACGGGTTTTTAGAAAGGTCAATTTGAAAGGATAGTTATTGAGCTACAGTGAATAAAAAAAAAGGCATCTGCTATTTTTACAGAGATCTTTTTTATGCATAAACCGAGTCTTCTTAAGGGAGGGTAATGGTAATGGAAGTGAAACGATTTAAATGATCAAAAACGTCGCTACCTCTAAGCAGGGATTTTAACAGTCTCGGGAGTTGAGTCTCTAGAGACTCAGACTCGGAGAGTGAGATCGATAATCGGGCAAGCAGACTTGAACTCCAAGTGCTGGTCTGCCACGATGATTTTTGGCAGTCTTGAACCTCTAGCCGGATACCTAGCGTCGACCGACACCCGGTATCAAACCACGAGGTCGAGTTCCTCTGTCAACGAATGAAGAGACTCAAGTTCAAGGGTGCCTGATGTGAGCAGACAAGGATGAACACACCCGCAGTGCTTCGCCGCCGAAATCGGGGATTCCTGGTTTCCGTCTTTCCGGAAATCATCCTCCCCGTAAACTACATGAACGTATATCGTCTACATCGTCACAGAGACGATATCACCGTGTGTGTCCAGCCTACCCCTGAACCGGGCCATCGCCGCAACTTCCCCGATGTTCACTTCCGAGAATATCTTATGGGCGCGCAGGTCAGAACTAAACCTTCATTCGGTACCTTCCAGAAAAAATAAGGACTAAGTCCTGAAATAAGTCTCCTGAAATCGAACTGGAGTAAATTTTTCGCCTTTTGTCGACAAAAAAAAAAAAAAAAAATTGAGAAAGCGGTCATCTATCAGCTGTGAACATCGAAGACGGTAAGGAGTACCTGGAACAAAGCAATGAAAATTCTAAGATCTCGTATTAAAGTCTTATTACCCTCTTGTATTGGCTGTTTTTTCGTGTAGCTCGACCTATCTTGATTTTTAATTCATAGCTCACTGAAAAATTGCGCCAGAAGTCAGAAAATTTTAACTAACATTCTTTCAGGTTCGAGTATCAAGAGACATCTATCCATGAAAATGGCAGACATTGACCTATACCACTACTTTAGATATCGTCTCACATGCTAGTGTCGTTTTAACAGGGCTTCCTGACGCTCTGTAACACCTGGTAACTCCCTAATTTTATATTCAACCACCTGTTGCCACTTGCTTATTGGGCGTTCCTTTCGTCGCCTTCAAAGAAGAATTCGATCATGCGTCTTCTTCGACAGCCTTTCCTCTGTCATCCTGTTAGATACCTGTGCTGAGTGTCTTCAAGTTTTTTGCCTCCTTATTTCGACCCACTCATAATGATGGAAATTTTTCCTTGTGCTGTAAGCATCCACTGGCTGCTGAATGTTTCACCTTTCTTTACGTAAAAACTACCATAATTTTTCTTCGTAATTTTGTATTCATGCTGTTACATCGTTTTGCAGAGTAAATCTTCTTCAAGTTCAGAAAAAAGAATGTTTTATGAAGTAGACGAATCAATCGATGCAGTAGACTTCGTTATCGAACATAAAAATGAACTTCTTTGTGGGAGGAGTGGCCTAGAACTGAAGGATAAAGATGCTCTGAAGGTATTTTCAAACTCTTTCATTTATATTCTGGGAAAAAAGCACCGCCACACATGCTATTCTTTTTGTAATTTACGTACCTTATAGTGGACCATCAGACAGGGCTGGAATTGAAGCACTACCATACATGTTTTTACTTTAAAATTTCTCGTAAGAAACGTTGAATCGAAAAATTTCAAAATTAACTCCTAAGTTAGAAAATAATATTCAAACAGTAGATTAAAATTTCTTGCCTCAAAACAACCATATACAACATAGGCCGAAAGAAGCATTGATTTTAATGTACGCATGAGATAAAAAAAGAGAGCTTGGTTTCACACACTGTTTTTACCTCTTTTGATTCAAGGTACCTTTAATCTTGTTATAAAAAAGTCAATATGTGGGAAAGTTCTGCCATTGTAAAATATGCTCTAATTAAATTGATGCTGGATTTGACTGGAGCAGACTCTCAGCGGAAGTATGAATTGATGTAGACAATAGCATTAATATCCAACTTATGAGTTGAATTTGGAAGGTTTTAATGCATCCACTGCATTCCTCGTAAAGTATCCATAAGTGAATATGTATGGTCGTGCTTAATTTTGTCCCCTGTCTAGTGGTCCATTTCATACTGATATTAACTGGTTTATTCAATCTGCTTTTCAACTTGCGGTATGCACTCAGACTGTACTTTTGAATTTATTTCAAAGTGTTTCCAAGTCAAATTTTATCTAATAATACCTGACATACTACAGTGTGATATTGTACTCGGAAATTCTATCAAAATGCTGCAGAACCATCTCAATCAATTTATCACCAGGCATAATGACTATACGACCTATATTTTCAGTTTGAAATCATGCTCTTAGCTCGTCTTTCAAATCTGTCCCTGGATGAAATGAGATCATTGCTGTATCGGTATTTTTGGAAAGTCGTTGATCTTCGAGAAAGCAGTAAATCCCTAGAAGAACAAATCACAGAAATGGATGTAAGTTTTTTTTTCATCACGTCCTTATTTTATCCAGCTAGCTGATTGTCAAAGTGTTGTGTTTGTGCATTATTACGTTGCCCTATGACTATTTTTTGCTTCCTGTGGCTTTACAATTTACTTTAGCTAAAATCAGTAAATTTTGATACCTCTGAATCATTAGCCTAAATCTCATTCAATGATGCTGAAAGAACCTTGAAAAGAATAGGGGGCTCAGTGGCTCCCAGTAGATTTTGATGAAACTTTAATATATTAAAATGAAGTTCAACATCAGCACAAACCCAAAAAATTAGCTCATTTTAACGAGTAGAAGCCCAGATATTTGTGATTAAACGCGGGCCATTCTCCGTGCGTTGGAGAAAAATGGGCGTTCCTCGTCGCATTTTCTTGTACTAGAATACTTCAGACTTCAGCCGGGAAACCCCCTCTCTCCTCTAGGTAGCTGTTCCGGCCAGCTTGGGCAGTGCAATATGGAGTCCTCTTATCTCTCGCACCTCCCCTCTGAAATGACTGGAGAGTTGCTGAAACAGAATCAGCAGATGAGGGGAGAAGGAGGGCTTACAGTCTTTGCACCAGTCGAACATGTAAGCACCTGAATGTTTGTGAGGTCTGATCGAAAAGCCAAACAACCACACCACGGTACGTTTTAAACACTTTTAATGCGGCCGACGTTTCATCCGCGCTTTTTTTGCGGAAATGTCAACCAGAAGGCCTACTGGTTGAGGAATAACAAACCGCGAAATCTGTGATGGGGCCGTTTGTGAGAAAATGCGATTTTTCGCTTTTTTGGCAGGAATTTCGGGTCAAGGCGCTGAAAAAGTCAAGTTAGGCTGTTTTTGTGGCTTGTAAATGCATATCCTATACATTTTTAGTCAATCAAGTGCCAGTAGATCCACATTCCAGGCTTCGTGCATTTTGCCCAAAATTCATATCCTTAAATCCACGACTTTTGGGTTTTTGGGGGGGTTAGTCAAGGAGAAATCCGAAAAAAAGAGGGTTAACCCGGAACAAATTGCTTAACATACTTTTCTCATGTAAACGTCTTCAGGAGGTCCTATTGAACAACATACCAAAAGTTTACCACGGTTCGATCCCGGAACTTCCCCCAAATGCCCTAAATTTCAAAATGGCGGCCATAATAAGGCTCCCAGAGGCCTGATATCAGCCTGAATTAGTCTGACTCAGGGTAGTTTATGAAACATAGCCCGACGTCAGGTTGATTCAGCTTTACTAGGGATGTCACGTAAACATTTAAAAAATTCACTCTCTTGCCTTTCAAATCTGGCCGTCATCTTGGCATTTGGAGTTATCCCTTTGACTTGAGGGCTTTTACGGCTTCCTAAATGAAATCTACGACCAAAATTATGTAAGGAATGATACCTCACTTGCCTTATCACGCGAACTTTTTAAAAATCCACCCTCTTGTCTTTCAAAATTGGCTGCCATCTTGGATTTGGGGTACCCCCTTTTGACCGGGGGACTTTTTTGACTTTGTATCTGAAATCTACGACCAAAATTAGATTGGAATTGACACCTCACATGACACTGTATGCGTACTTTAAAAAAAAAAATCGAACTCCCAGAGGCCTTATTATGGCCGCCATTTTGAAATTTAGGGCATTTGGGGGAAGTTCCGGGATCGAACCGTGGTAAACTTTTGGTATGTTGTTCAATAGGACCTCCTGAAGACGTTTACATGAGAAAAGTATGTTAAGCAATTTGTTCCGGGTTAACCCTCTTTTTTTCGGATTTCTCCTTGACTAACCCCCCCAAAAACCCAAAAGTCGTGGATTTAAGGATATGAATTTTGGGCAAAATGCACGAAGCCTGGAATGTGGATCTACTGGCACTTGATTGACTAAAAATGTATAGGATATGCATTTACAAGCCACAAAAACAGCCTAACTTGACTTTTTCAGCGCCTTGACCCGAAATTCCTGCCAAAAAAGCGAAAAATCGCATTTTCTCACAAACGGCCCCATCACAGATTTCGCGGTTTGTTATTCCTCAACCAGTAGGCCTTCTGGTTGACATTTCCGCAAAAAAAGCGCGGATGAAACGTCGGCCGCATTAAAAGTGTTTAAAACGTACCGTGGTGTGGTTGTTTGGCTTTTCGATCAGACCTCACAAACATTCAGGTGCTTACATGTTCGACTGGTGCAAAGACTGTAAGCCCTCCTTCTCCCCTCATCTGCTGATTCTGTTTCAGCAACTCTCCAGTCATTTCAGAGGGGAGGTGCGAGAGATAAGAGGACTCCATATTGCACTGCCCAAGCTGGCCGGAACAGCTACCTAGAGGAGAGAGGGGGTTTCCCGGCTGAAGTCTGAAGTATTCTAGTACAAGAAAATGCGACGAGGAACACCCATTTTTCTCCAACGCACGGAGAATGGCCCGTGTTTAATCATATGTTATCATGTTGTTATAGGATATGCATTTACAAGCCACATAAACAGCCTAACTTGACTTTTTCAGCGCCTTGACCCAAAATTCCTGCCAAAAAAGCGAAAAATCGCATTTTCTCAAAAACGGCCCCATCATAGATTTCGCGGTTTGTTATTCCTCAACCAGTAGGTCTTCTGGTTGACATTTCCGCAAAAAAAGCGCGGGTGGTACGTCGGTCGCATTAAAAGTGTTTAAAACGTACCGTGACACGAGAGGGGATTCATAAGTCCTACATCATGCTTTGATATGATAGTAAAGAGACCGGGTTCAATTCTACTTGTTAGCTTCTGCTGTCAGCTTCTACTCGTTAGAATGAACCAATTTTTTGGCTTTTTACTAACGATGAAGTTTATGTCAATCTATTAAGTTTATCAAAGTCTACTGACAGCCACTGAGCCCCCTGTTCTGTGCGGGGTTCTTCGAGATACTTAGCATATAAAAGGGGTATATGCAAAATCGGCAAAAATTCCCCCCTCATGGATTTTGACCACTTCTCAATATGTCATTCCTCATTATAGGATACGCCTTTTCCCAAAGTTTCAAGGCCTGAAATGAATTACTTTCCGCTTAGCAGCGTTGCCAAGTTGAAAACCGTTGAGAACCATATCTTTCGAACGAAAAAAGATATTGAGGTGCGGTGTGCGCTAAAATTCTTCAAAAATTGCGTTCTCTTGAAATATGCAGTCAATTTGATCGTTTAGGCACTTTAAGATTGCAATGATGCCATTTTTCACACTTTCTTAGGGGCCAATTTTTATTTTAACCCTAGTACATCGTCAAATGCCGGATTCTCGATTCGAACAAAAAGTTGTTCATTTTATTTCCAATACATTCCCGTACACTTTGATATAAATATTATACCTCACAGGGAAACGACTGGCACAAGAGATTTGAGCTATCAAAGTTTACATTTTGAGCGCGCCGACTGGGATCTAGGAGCTCGGGATCTTCTGCACACCCCCTCCCTTGCCACTGACAAGCTGTACGAGGTCATTCTTATGAAGTTCTTTTCGCACTATCCATTTAGAAAGCCTTAGGCTGGCCTTTAGAAAGCCTTCCGATGAATTTTTAGGGGCCTTGAGGTCCGTTGTTGTCATTTTTGACCCATTTATAGGGTTTTTTCAATTTCACTTACGTAAAACGTAATTTTAACATAAAACTGTGTACTTTTTTGGATGGAACGGAAAGAAATGAATAGATACGTGTGTGCAACTTTTTCCTGCGTGGCCAAATTTTCGAGAAAATCGTTCGAAAGTGCCAAAAATTGGATTAGGTAATTTTACATTTTGCCACGCCTAAGGTTTGAGAAAGTGGGGCACAACTTTCATATTGACGTACGTAACAGCTCTTACCCATCCATACAACAGATAAAGAAAGCATAGTTGTGCCTGGATTGCCACAATGTGAAAATTGACCAAGATGTCACGTTTTGCAGCCTTTTTATATTTAAGGCAGCTCTTTTGAATGTTATTCGACCTTCAGTCACAATCCTAAGGATGGAGCAATGGATCCAGCAATGGATAGTGCGCAAAGAACTTCATAAGAATGACCTTGCACAGCTTGTCAGTGGCAAGGGAGGGGGTGTGCAGACGATCCCGAGCTCCCGGATCCCAGTGGGCGCGCTCAAAACGTAAACTTTGATAGCTCAAATCTCTTGTGCCAGTCGTTTCCCTGTGAGGTATAATATTAATATCAAAGCGTACGGGAATGTATTGGAAATAAAATGAACAACTTTTTGTTCGAATCGAGAATCCGGCATTTGACGATGCACTAGGGTTAAAATAAAAATTGGCCCCTAAGAAAGTGTGAAAAATGGCATCATTGCAATCTTAAAGTGCCTAAACGATCAAATTGACTGCATATTTCAAGAGAACGCAATTTTTGAAGAATTTTAGCGCACACCGCACCTCAATATCTTTTTTCGTTCGAAAGATATGGTTCTCAACGGTTTTCAACTTGGCAACGCTGCTAAGCGGAAAGTAATTCATTTCAGGCCTTGAAACTTTGGGAAAAGGCGTATCCTATGATGAGGATGACATATTGAGAAGTGGTCAAAATCCATGAGGGGGGAATTTTTGCCGATTTTGCATACACCCCTTTCCTCGGTCAAATAACAAGAAAAAACCCTCGTTAATGGGTTTTATTTTGCTTCCTTACAACTGTCCAAAAGAGAAAGAAAAAAACGCTTTCCAGCCACAGTGGAAACGAAAGGTAGATTTCGACCAATCGTTTCTATGAAAACAATTGCGCTTAATGAGCCTGACAGGTCGGAAAATCGTCCCCCTTGAACTTGAGTTTTTCCGTATAAGGGGTGGTTTTAGAGAGTAGGTGACCATAGGTTGTTTTGAAGGCCACGACGAGATGAGTTTTTTGACGTATCACCGACTAAGATCGGACGAGTTTGAAAAATCCTCCCCCTTTGGACTTGAGATTTTCCATATAAGGGGTGGTTTTAGAGGGTAGGTGACAATAGGTTGTTTTGAAGGCCACGACGAGATGAGTTTTTTGACGTATCGCCGACTAAGATCGGACGAATTTGAAAAATCATCCCCCTTTGGACTTGAGATTTTCCGGATAAGGGGTGGACCGATTTTCACGAAAAAGGAAACTTGATCTAGACCTCATAGCAGTGAAGAACCATGCTTAGTTTCGTTTTGATCCTACGGATAGCTCCGGAAAAAAACGGTCACAAAGGTTCGTTAGATCCCACACACACACACACACCCTCACTCACACACACACACACACACACACACACACACACACATATATATATATCGTACTTTTTTATGACCCACATTTTTCAACTCAGGGCTTCAGGATCGATGCTTTTCAGCGAAAATTCCGGAAAATTACGAGGTCGTACCGTCTGCAATAGGTAGATATTTCTTCGAAATCTACCCAAAAGAACGTCAGAAATAAAAGTGTTCAGAAAATCTAATCGTTGTTCGAAAGTGGAAAATTATCGCCTAAAAATGTGTTGGCTTAGTTACACTTTTAATATGAATATCGATGAGTAATGCCTACCTATTATTCCAAAATGAACGAATTAATGAAATTACTTCTGCCTGTGGGCCGATTATTTAAATTTTGTATTTGTTAGGCACCCGAAGATGACATAGGTTAAATGTCCTCGTGTGATTGGTGGTTCATATCTTATAGCTGATTTGTCTTATCTATGTCGGATGGAATTGATGACAAGCTAAAGGCACCCCTTGAGTTCCTGATTGCTTATTGTCAATTTTACCTGACATAGCGCAGGCACGACAAAGCCGGGATAAGACATAGCTGACCAAACCTACACCATCTATTCTGTGTCATCTTTGTCAGCACGACAAACAGAAAATTTCAGCAATCGGCCGGCTGGTCTTATGCCAAGATATCGTCATTTGGATTGGTCTCAGAATGCTCATGATGGTGCCATTGGTCCTCTCTACAACCAGCTCTCAATCTCAACGAAAGCTCCTAAGGTTGAGATCGTAATGAAGAGGATCCCCCACGCTACTAGTCCAAGAGCCAGCAATGATTTATCTAACTTGAGAGTATAATAATTTTCACATACACTCTTAGATCGGGGTACTCGAGTGTAACACGAATCAGGCAGCAGTCCGCCTGGTCACAGCAGAAGGGTTCAAAATTTGAGACCCATCGAATTCCAAAAAATTGCGTAAAATTTAACCGGAAAGTATTATGGTTGATTTTGGTCTCATTTTGTAGGGGTGACTTCCCTGATTAGATATCACCTTGCTAGACTGTCGAACTTTGATGGGAGAGGGTTGCCAGACTGCATAAAAGTTGCCAAAATCGACCTTTTCTGCCTAGTTCATGTGAATGCGCAGTAGTCCAGTCAATCTATCAAAAAATAGATAGGGTTTTAACTTGCAAATTCGGAATAAAACTCTCCAACTACGCTAAGAAAAAAAAGAAAGACTTTCATTCTGCTGATACATTAACGCGTGCTTAGCGGATCTTTTGTTGAATTTTTTCTGTAAATGTCGGATATGCTACTATGGTGAAGTCAACATTTCCAAAATTGATTTGACTAACAATCAGCATTCTCATTAATAAAGCTCAAATGATCGTTTAAGAGACGTTAACTTTTTTTTCCGCGGGTTCGAAAAAAATGTAGACACTGAAAGAATAATGTCCAATAATAATTTTGCGAGACCTGGCGAAAGGGGGCAGGGTATGGGGATCTGGGAAGGGATGCCGAAACGGGTGAACTGAAATATTTAACTTTAATGTTTATAAACGAGACTCCATGCTTCAAAGCTGAAATGATACATCACGAAACCATATTAAAACCCTTACCTATAATATGACAGATCCGTGGTCCAGCATTGCCACCGATTTCGGTTGTTGGAGTCTCCAACTTCAAGCGCTCCTAACGTCTGTATAAACGGCCATTAGTCCAAAAACTTAGTCTCCTTAATAGCATTTTTTGCTGACTCTAATTTTTGTGTTGACCATTTTCGCCGAGAAATCGTCCAAAAGAAAGGTACTTTAGAAAAACGCAAGAAATTTTGATTTCTCAAATTTCCTGCTTTTTTCAGCGCGCTCTGGTAGGTGGTACATACATTTTATCGAAACTGTGATCCATATTACACAATCAAAATGTAACGTACTTTGGTTTCGAAAATAACCTCATTTCCTGCCGGACGCCTAGGGAATGAGCTATTATGATTGTTGAACAAAAAATGAGATTTGGCAACGTGTTTTCGAAATGGCGGCTTTAGAGGCAAAAATTGAAGGCAGCCAAGTTCAGATTCGATTTAAGCGCTAATAAAAACACAGGATACGTATGCCAGAGAGTTTTTGCTAGAATTTGCAAGTTAAACCCCTATTTTAGGATAGATTGGCTGGACTACTGAGCTTTTACATGAACTAGGCAGAGAAGGTCGATTTTGGCAACTTTCATGCAGTCTGGCAACCCTCTCCCATCGGAGTTCGACAGTCTGGCAAGGTGATATCGAATCAAGGAAGTCCCCCTTACAAAATGAGTCCAAAATAAACCATGATACTTTCCGGTTATTTACGCAATTTTTTGGAAATGAATTAACCCTCCCACTGTGACCAGGCGGACTGCTGCCTGATTCTTGTTACACTCGAGTACCTCGATCTAAGAGTGTATGTGAAAATTATTATACTCTTGGGTCAGATAATTCCATGCTGGCTCTTGGTCTGTATGCTGAGAGTTCACCTGTATGTACAGTCTAACTCTCCGTGTGCGAATAGAGAGCAAATACATCAGCAGGGTTACCACTTTGTGCAGAGTCTGCAAGGCAAAAGCATAAGAACTTATATCTCAAATTTCTGATGCATGCAAGACCTCCATTTTCCCCTAGATCAAGCCCTAATGTCTATTAAGTTTTTGTCTGTGTGTTTTATATCATATGCTTGTGATTTTAATCAACAGATCCAATATGAAAGCATTGCCATGAAATTCCAGCGGCTAGTGAATGATATCCAGTACAATGATGTCTTGTCAGAATTAAAACTGACGCTAATGCAAAAAGATTACGAAGAGAAAATCGGAAGTTTGCTGAGACATCTCTGTGAGCTTGAGGCCATTTTAGGGAAAGCTGAAGAAATGGAAACCAACTATAATATTGAGAATGTCATTGTCCAGAGAGATGAGGATGCTCTAGATCCTTACGTCCCAAGAATGCATCATCATGGTAAGAATATTTGCTTGATATAATTTTCCGTTCGTGTGATGGTGTGATTTTAAAGGAGGAGTATCAATGAAAGCCAAAATCGGCCCACTCCCAGAATTCCAAGTTTTTCCAATATTTTTCAGTTGATGACATACGAGGGTCATCCAAAAAGTAAGGTTCCCTACCTTGTATCTTCCAAACGAAAAAAGATAAATCAAATCGGCAAAAAGACACTTATTAGGCATACTCTAAGCTTACAACAAGCTCAAGTTTTTGAAAATCGGTCAAGAGGTTCGCGAGAAACCTTAATTTTACTGCGACAACCTCCTGTCACCGCGTGCCCACCTCCGGGGTCAGGATGCGTAGAGAGTCGATTATTTCAGACTCGGGAAGTCGCCTCTAAACATCACATCAACGAGAAATTTGAAAGTTTTGAAAGTTTGAGTAGGTCTTAACTTACGTTTTGATGTAGTCTCCACATCTATTTTGACATTTTGTGGTATCATTACAGCAACTTCTTGATGCCGTCCGCGTTAAAGCTCTCGCCCTGGCTCCGAAACTAGTCATTGACAGCGATCTGCACTTCCAAATCAGTGCTTTGCGTCGGGAAATTTTCCTCCAATCCTCCAAACTCTCTTAATTTAGACTTATATGACTATCATCTGTTCCCGAGCGGGTAACTTCAATGATGAAAAGCGATTGCTAACCGATTCAGAGGTATGCAGACCACTGGAAATGACTAGTTTCGGAGCCAAGGCGAGAGCTTTAACGCGGACGGCATCAAGAAGTTGCTGTAATGATTCCAGAAATGTCAAAATAGATGTGGAGACTACGTCAAAAAATAAGTTGAGACCCACTCAAACTTTCAAAACTTTCAAATTCCCTGTTGATGTGATGTTTAGAGGCTACTTCCCGAGTCTGAAATAATGGACTCTCTGCGTATCTTGACCCCGGAGGTGGGCACCCGGCGACAGGAGGTTGTTGCAGTAAAATTAAATTTTCTCGCGAACCTCTTGAACGATTTTCAAAAACTTGAGCTTGTTTTAAAGCTTAGAGTATGCCTAATAAGCGTCTTTTTACCGATTTGATTTATCTTTTTTCGTTTGGAAGATACAAGGTAGGGAACCTTACTTTTTGGATGACCCTCGTATATTATGGAAACATTTGCATTCGGCGATTGTCACACTTTGGTTTCAAAGTGGAGGCCCAAACTTGAATCGGAAGGTCAAAATAAATAAAAATTCCCGTTTTTTTCAGTGTTCCATATCAGATTTTATGGTGGGCGGTTAGTGAGCTTTGCATAAGTTGTTTGGGACCACTTGAGATGTCAAATGAGCATAGTTGGTCAACTAAGTCCTTTGGACAGGTCAAAAACAACTTCACTATTAAACATCGTTAGGGGGCTACATGAGTTCTCAATGTTTAAAAACACAAAAATGTTGATGAACAGTAATGTACTCACTCGTGCAAATACTTTTAAAAATGAAGGGACGTGTTTTGAGGAGAAAACACTTCAATTGTTAAGCAAGTGGTTGAATGAAACAAAAAGTAAAAGAGTTTTTTAGATTGCCAGAAATTTGTACCAGTCAAACAGTGTTTACTTAGACTAAATTGTAGAATGTACAGACAAACAAGGAATCTATTTATGGGGCACCCGATCTCGCTGTTTTTGTCTGACTTATTTATGAGTAACATGGAAATTAAGAGGGTAATAGTACGCCCAGATTTATTTTTGTTATAGCGCAAGTATGTCGATGATGAACTATCCAAAATCAATAAGAGTCAGCAAACCTTGACTTCAGAGTATTTAAATTCAATAAATTAGAATTTAGCAGTTTTATAGAAATTGAATGAAATGAAAAAATTTTAAGTCTTCGAATCATTTGAAATTCGAAAAGCAGTGATCAATAATGAAGCATTATTAAATGCTCGAGTTTATTTAAATCTTGCCACCACCCCTATTATTTATGTTCGTTGTTTGTTGATTGCTGCCCACCATGCATTAATAACCTAATTTCAAAGATTTGTGATGATTATTTCTTTCATAGAATAGGGTTGTTGCATGGGTGGGGGATATTAGAAGAAAAAAATTATGTCCGTTAGATTTTTTAGCGAGAAAAACGACGGTGACGTCCAAGAAGTTCTAAATCGAGTCCTTAAGCTCGAAAAAGCTCGCTAAAGTTCGATAAAATTGCACGTGAAAATGACGAATTCGCATTGGCTGCTGCGAAAATGACGTCACTACACATGAGAGCCTGGCAACGCCGCCATTACCCATATCTCGATCGTGTGTTTATCTCGTGGAGGTGTGCTGGTTTACCGTCTTTTAAGTACTCGTTTTTTCATTAATCTCTCCCAATTTTACTCTGGAATCATGCCTAAAGGTGTTCTTAACGGTTTTCGGAAAGCAGGCAAAAGATGATCACTGATAACGCATCATTGAACATAAACAAGGCAATCAGGGATTATGTTTGTGAGATTGTAAACACTCAATCTACGAATGAGCTCAACTCGACCTCTGATTGGCTACGAAGATCGGACGTCGCCGGAAAAGCCCGAGCAAGGCCGATTGCGACGGAGCGCCACCCCGACCGGCTTCCTCGAGAATTCGGGGGAAAATCGATTTTTAACTCAATTTTCGTTCTGAAAATCGTCGGGTGGGATTTGATAGCTTCGCCGCGGAAAGCTTTCATTCTGAGTGCCTTTTCGTGTGGTCTCCAGATGGGTTGTGTAGTGCTGGAACGACTGCTTAATTTCGTAGTAGTTGCTTTGGTTTTGCATGATTCAAGACCCGGCCCCACCTATAAGTAGTAAGTCTCTCTCGCCTCATTTAGGAGTTAGAGCTTATGAAACTAGATCGCAGCAGTTCGCGCCCCAACAAAGCGGACCGCGAGCAATGTATAAAAATATCAAAGCACAACCCAGATTCCCTGCTACCATCAAACCCCTATTGCACTAATGCACGCTTTTCACTGTCTAAATTGCTATTTAAACACATCAAGCACAACCTATTAAACTCCTATCGTAACAATGCACTCTCTTGCACCATCTAAATTTGCTACTCATTATTGTATATTTATTTATTTATTTTTTTTGTTTTTTGTTTACATATATTGCTGCTTGCTGTTTTTACTTTAAGTTAGTTTCTTACTTGGGTTGTTGCAAAGCTCACGGTCTAGGCCGCCACCCCCTGAATTTTTTTTTTCTTTTTTTTTCTTTTTTTTTCTTTTTGCTTTTGCTCTTCTCTACTTTGCCAAGCTTGTAGTGACTAATAGATGTGCTTTCTTCTGTCAGTAAGTTGTTTGTACAGTGGTAGTGTTTGAAAGCTTAGAAGCTTCTAGAGTGTAGAATAAGTTAAAAGAGGATTTACTGTTTTGTTACTAAAGTGTATGTGTTTAGCAGAAAAGTGTCTGCAATAATGGAAAACTAGTATCAGTGACCGCGGGAAGTGTGCACATCGGGAAAATGCCTGGGGATGGAAGTTGCCTTTTCAGAGCATTACTACATCATAAATGGAGACGGTTTTCCCAGAAAGAGTACCTGAAGGAGGCGCGACTCGTCTAAGACTGATCATTTGTGAGCATCTGATCAAGAATGTGAGACAACCGAGTGTTTTATACAACGTACTTGAGACAGCCAGTCAGGATAGTGCATTCATGGAAATGAATTTTCCCCCCCCCCCTTTTTTTCTCTTCTTTTTTCTCTCTTTTTCTCTCTTTCTCTCCTTTGCTAAGCTTGTAGCGACTAATAGATGCGCTTTCTTCTGTCAGTAGGTTGTTTGTACAGTGGTATTGTATGAAAGCTTCGAAGCTTTTAGAGTGTAGAATAAGTCAAAGAAGGATTTACTGCCTTTTTACTGAACAAGAACTGAAAGGAAAGTGTGTGTGTTTAGTGGACAAGCATCAGCAATGATGTAAAAACTAGTATCAGTGACCGCGGGAAGTGTGCACATCGGAAAAATGCCTGGGGATGGAAGTTTCCTTTTCAGAGCATTACAACATCATAAATGGTGACTGTTTGCCTAGAAGGAGTGCCTGAAGAAGGCGCGACTCGTCTAAGACTGATCATTTGTGAGCATTTGATCAAGAATGTGAGACAGCCGAGCGTTTTGTATAATGTACTTGAGACAGTCAGTCAGGATAGTGCATTCATGGAAATGAATTTTTTTTTTCTCTCTCTCTCTCTCTCTCTCTCTCTCTCTCTCTTTCTCTCCTTTGCTAAGCTTGTTGTGACTAATAGATGCGCTTTCTTCTGTCAGTAGCTTGTTTGTACAGTGGTAGTATATGAAAGCTTAGAAGCCTCCAGAGTGTAGAATAAGGTAAATGAGGATTTACTGCCTTTCTACTAAACAAGAACTGAAAGGAAAGGAAACCATTCAGGCCTTTTGCCAATTGTTTTCGTGCCAAGTTCATATATCTAATGAAAAAAAAAAAAACGTGTAATAGAGGTTGCTTGCGCAGTATACCAAGAATGTTTAATCATGTTAAAACAATGAGACGTGAATGCATAGTATCCAAGAATGCATCAAGCATGCTACCAATTGTGTACAGCACGGGGTTTTTGGGGGAGCCGTGTGTAAAGTTGGGCCTGAGGTGGGTTTATATGAGATAAAGAAACCAAGGATGTCCTAGCAGTCGCTCAGGTAACAAGCACAAGACATGGGAATAGTTAACGCTGAAAGTGACACAGCCTCTGTGCCTCAGATCTGGATTGATAAACTTTCCCTTTAAATCTTCCATGCAGAAGGAAACAGCATTAGCGGTCCTCTGCTCCCATCCAATTTTCCTTATCCTAGATTTTGTCCCCTGTGTGTTTCAGGAATAGTCCAACCGTTCGCTTTGAAATATAAGCATAACGAGCTATGGCCAACAGCTGGGGCGGTTGGACTTAAGGTGATTCGATGGACGCCATATTTTGTGTCAGAACGGCATGCGATATATCGCATCAATTGGTTCCATATTTTCAGCTACTCGTCATTTTTCTCCTATTTTGAGATCGCAATTTTGTTGTCAGGAGTCTAAAGCACTCACTTACCAATTTTAACAAAGAAATTCAACGTAATAAAGGCGTGGTTTTTTCAGAGAGAAAATATCGCATTCGAGTGCAGTTTCGATATCGGTATCGAATGCGATGTTTTCTCTCTGAAAAAACCACGCCTTTATTACGTTGAATTTCTTTGTTAAAATTGGTAAGTGAGTGCTTTAGACTCCTGACAACAGAAGTGCGATCTCAAAATAGGAGAAAAATGACGAGTAGCTGAAAATATGGAACCAATTGATGCGATATATCGCATGCCGTTCTGACACAAAATATGGCGTCCATCGAATCACCTTAATTCTTCTTAATTTTCGTTCTGAAAATCGTCTTGGTGTGCAAAAAATTGAGTCCGAAAATGATTCACCTGATCTTCATCTATCCATCCAGTTAAAAAATTGAGTCTTGTCAGAAAACTCGATTTTTCATGATTTTCTAAGAAACCTACATTAACACGAAGTTTAGATCGCAGAATCCCGTCGCCGTACGTAGTGACGTCAGAGCCGAGGCGCGGGAAAATACCCGTTTCAAATCACTGTTGAACTTTCTAAGCTTTTTCTCCATGTTCCCTTCGTCAGAAAATTTTTCAAAATTTTTTTTCATAATCAGAAAACCTCCAAGTTTTAGAAACTGAATTAAAAAAAATTCATGCAACAACCCCATTATTTTTCAAATAATAGTAATTTGATAAATTGTGATACTGAATTTGCAGTCACCATGATTTTCATCTGTAATGTTGAAGTGATAGTTATGATATGGATGTTATTATAGTTTATTATAACTGTATAGGGTGATTCAAAAGTCTCTTCCACCCCCTCTAACTTTTTACCTAATTAAGGCAAAGATTTAAAACTTGGGGGATGTCCTTAGGTCAAAGGGAGCTACTTTTAGTCCTAAAATTTTCAAGGGGGCCTTCTTGAGGCGGCAACTAACCCCATTTTTTGTTTTTCAAATGGAGGGACCCCCTTTGTCATACCTTGTTTGAAAGAACATAAAAAAGAAAACTTCTCGCGCAAACAAAAAGTCAATATCTCAAACCGTCTCAAAATGGCGGCCGGTTAAAGTTTAAGATGACCGAAAATTGACGCCGGTTGTTTGTCATTGGATATGCGCGAAAATTGGCATACTTGGGTATTTTGGCATGAGAAAAACGAATTTGACGTTAGATTTTTTTTAAAAAAACGATATTTCCAATACGGCCGCCAATTCAAGTTCAAAATTGCCAACTCGGTTTTTTGCTGATGGATTTGCTGAAACTTGGGACTTAGAGGTATTTTAGTATGAGATCAACACATTTGAAATTAAATTTCTAAAAAAAAAAAAAAAAATTCGGCTATTTTGAAATTCAACCGGCGGCCATTTGGGAAATATTGGTTTTCTTAAAAATCTAACATCAAATTCGTTTTTCTCGTGTCAAAGTACCCGTGGACACCGATTTTTGCGCAAATCCATCCACAAAAAAACCGAGGTGCCAATTTCCGGACATCTTGAACTTTAACCGGCTGCCATTTTGAAACGGTTTGAGACATTGACTTCAAAGCGCAAGAAGTTTTCCTTTTTCATACTCTTTTGAACAAGGTATCCCAAGGGCGGTCCTCTCTTTTGAAAAAAAAAGTTGGGGTCCGTTGCCCCTCAAGGCGGCCCACTTGAAAATCGTAGGGGGGCTAAAAATTAGCTCCCTTTAACCTAAAAACACCCCCCAAGTTGCAAATTTTTACCTCAATTAGGAAAAAAGTTTAAGGGGATGGAAGGGACTTTTGCATCACCCTGTATATTTAATCCGACTAATCATGGGTGGCGGTAGCCACCTCCGGACAAAGTCAATGTTACTGACGATGGCCTGTAGTAGTTGAAATGCAATTAGCAAAGTAAAATTAGTTTTCCATGCATCTGATGGTATAATTTTAAACCACACTTACAAAAGAAGATGGCATGTTCTGAAGCCGGTACCTGGCTCCGGTGGAGGAGAGGAGGCTGCATTGCCTCTGCGCCCATGATGTCACTCCGTGAGACAGGAGTGGGGAAAAGGAGATCTGCTACAACGAAGAGGATGAGTTTTCTCTTTTCCTGATCTATTTATCTATCCTTATTTTTCAGGTATCCATCAAAGGCCGAGGATCCCTACTCAGTTTCTACACCAAACACATTCGAATTCAAATCGAACTTCAACGAAAGTGACGAAAGAAGGGAATAAACTCATCTTCTGTCAAGAAAAAAAGAGATCTAACTAGTGCATTTCCATCAGTCTTGTGGTTAAATTCAATGAAAAGCTTCATTCGTTCTCAAAGGAATTTTTAAGTCTAAAAGCACTAAAATGATGTCACTTTGAAATTAATTACACAAAGAATGTAGCTGCCCATTTATTCTCACTGTTTCAGTTAAGTAATGGAATCGGTGGTGTGGATATGTCTCAAACAATATCTGCATAATTGGTGGATTTTTTGTAACCTGTGAATATCCCTATTTTACTCTCTCTTTTCTACCCGGTGGAAATTGTTTTGTATCAGTTTGTCTCTAGCTGTGGAAAAGTGGAGGAAGTTATTTTTCCCTGTATTTTTTCTATCTTTTAGGAATAGAAAATTTATTTTAAAGTATGGATGAATGTCTGTTTAGTGTGACTTAATTGCATCAGACGAAATATTTGATCATACTTCTGTTGATTCGCCACCTTAAGAATTCCCATGGCCGCTTTGCGGCCCAACCCCTGTAAGCGCTAAGCACCTCCAAGTGACGCTTGTAGTGTCACGGATTTCTTTACTTGAGAGGAAAGACAATATAAAGAAACGCAAGAGACAACTAGCGTGGGATAATCATGAATGATATTTTTCCTAATCTAATAACAAAATTGAAGCAATTGAAATAAACGTTTTAAAGTTGAATGAGTTCATTATTTTATCAGGTGTCAATGTTTATGTGTGCACTTACTTACTTTTTATTCTTCGGTCCTGATCTTCTGGTTAAGAAACGACTATGATAGACTCAGACCCTATAGGTTTATCTTCAGGTCGAATGTGCAGCGATCGCGAGATGCAAACTTGTGTTGAGGGATTAAAATAAAAAATAAGTACGATGCTGCAGTTTACCACGTTATCAGCGCGTACTCGTGATTCCAACTTCGTGAGTTCTAGCAAGGAGGGGGAAAAAGAGAAAAAAAAAGAAAATGATCTTAGTCGTGTTTTAACTAGAAAATCAAGGCCAAAGAATAGAAAGTAAGAAAGTGCACACAGAAGTAAACGTTTTTATTAAAATCACATAACTAAGAAAGTGCACACAGAAGTAAACGTTTTTATTAAAATCACATAACTAAGTGTTACGATGACTGCAAAACTTCCTTGTAATCGATGATGCACACTGTGCATTCCCCTCCTCCTCACTTTTGGCTCCCTGAATTTGAATTTTAAGGCTCTCTCTCAATCAACGTCTCGATATTGCGGCATACAGTTGACCGTGTTCGAAAATTGGTCGATTTTGGTCAACAAAAACCAACTTTACTAAAAGATTGGCATTGACTCTTATATTTTGTCATGACAAATGCGAGACGCACAGAGAACTATTTTTGATTGAGAACAAAGAGAAGTTCCAAGTCCCCCTTCGTATTTATCACTATTCCAGGAATCACTGCGATGTTTCCTCAGTTGTTTCCAGTTACAATTGTGCAAAAAAGGGCATGTTTATAAATTTGAGACATTATCTTGAGGGTACCATTGCATAGCGCGTCCTCAGTGCACAAATTACGCAGTAACATCACTGTAGCTCCAACTTTAAGCTTTAAACGTTGCAGCCGTAATCCCATGGGGTTAATTATGGATAAATATTCAGGTTGATAATGTAACATGAGGTCATCATTATCCGTGCCATCCCCATCTATAATCGTTGCTCAGCTGTATCCATCACACACTACAGAGTCATCCTGTAACTTTTCCAAAACCTTTTCGTTTAATTTGTCAACCTTGCAGTTTTTTTATGCTAGGAGCACACTATTTTGGAGGGAATCCTCTGAACATTTTTTATCGAATACACTATCAATATTGTCCTAAGATAGGATACTTTCTGGTACCTTCAACCAGTCGATCTTGTCGCCGTCAACTTTTGCCGAGAGACAGATTTTAAAATCCATGGCAGGGATTCATCAAATTGTAGATTTATTTGTTTTCGTCCAGAATGGGCTCTGTAGAAGAATGAAAACAATGGAGAGAAAACAGGGTAATCGTGTGAAAGGGTCAAAATATATTGCATAAACGCAGCTATTCCTGTCCCAAGGACTGAGAGGGTAGGGCCCGAAGGCATGAACCATCTAGGCCTCTAAGTTTTTTTTTGAGTTTGGTGAAATAAGTTCCCAGCTGACTCTGAGTGGTTGACTGTTGATCAGTCGTAACGCAGGTAAAATTGAGTGATTGATTGGATTTGATTATTTGGTAAAAAAGTAATGAAAAAAGAATTTGGAGAATAATTAAACGTTGTAGTAAGTAATACATACGTCTTATTTCATTTTTTGGCTACGCATTTTTTGGCTACGCTCAAACCGCCGGAAAAATTGTGGTATTTGGCGCTAGTGCAATGTACTTTCCAGTAGTTAAGTTGTGGAGTGACCACGTGCTCTTCCTGAATGCAACTTTTTTGATTTGTTGAGAGAAGAATGCAATTTTACAAAATCGCGAAGAGACTAAATTCTCTTTAATGCACTGGATCTCAATTTTATGGAAAATGCTCGCATTTTCATTCATGTACGTTTGAACGAAACCATGCGAATGAAGCTTCGTTTTTACGTGCGCACTCATGACCGCAGTTTAAGAGAGCGTAAGAAACGTAGTTAAGTTATTTGATTCCTGCTGTGCAATGACTTATTTAAAACAAATTAATTTGAAATCGTCCCAATACTCAAAGTGCCGCGGAAGATGTCTGGTTTAAAGAAAAACAAAGGAAACATCTGTTAGGGCACTGCCCTGATTGCCCCCTTCAACCTTACACGTGTTCACTATTCATTCACACTCAAGGGCTCGGGCGACTCTCTCGCTGGAACCCGTCGCAGGAGAGATGTGCGCGCAGGCACGTAATTTCAAGCGCGCAGGACGGAGAGCAGCACCGGGTTGTAAGGCCGGCGATGGAAGCTCATCCGAGCGCCTGAGTGGACTGGATCAGGCGGTGGGCGCCTGATAGGCAGTCAATCCGCGACAGTGGGCGCGGCGTCTTCAGTTTGTGCGCTTGAAGCGCGGTGAAGACCCCCAAGGGATACCCCCAGGGCTTGCCTAAGCGAATCGCTCGGACGGATATCGCGATGAGGCGATTGCGGGTTGCTCCGTGCAGCGCTGTAAGCGGCCAGGCACGGGAGCCACTGTGGAGTCAACAGCGTTGGGAGCTGGACTGAGAAGTCAACAGCGTAGGGAGCTGGACTGGGAAGTCGACAGCGTTGGAAGCTGGACTGAGAAGTCGACAGCGTTAGAAGCTGGACTGAGAAGTCGACAGCGTTAGAAGCTGGACTGAGAAGTCGACAGCGTTAGAAGCTGGACTGGGAAGTCAACAGCGTTGGGAGCTGGACTGGATGTTTCCTCTTGGAGACCTGAAAGAGAAGTGGTGAAAATTCACTTACCAAGGTGCTCAAGCTTGGTTGAGGAGTGAATGGTGGATCACACTTTGCATGGGCCGTGCCGCTGGGATGCCGTCAAAATCAGACGACGGGCGAGAGCGGCGGAACGTCTAAAGTTAGGTGCGTCAACGCGATCTAGCGGACAGCGGCGTCGCGACGCCGCGAGGTAGGGCGCGCGGGTTGCGGGGGAGCGCGGCCGCGAGAAGAGGAGCGCGGCGGCAGGGAGGGGGGAGCGCGGGTCGCGGGAAAGGAGCGACCGCGGCGCGGAGTCGGCCGACGGCGAGGCCGGTGCTGGCCGAGCCATGATCACGGCGTGAACATGTACCGCCCCCCATGAGGCCCGTTAAGGGCTCATCATACAAGGAAAAATGAAGAAAAAATTAAAATTCGCTGAGAACAATGATATTTACAAAGAAATTGAAAAAATTGACTAAGATTTAAGAAGGCTGAGAAATCGCTTCCAAAATTTAGTTTTAGAGGGTCCCAGTTTTTGGGGTTTGTCCCGGTCAGTTTCTAAGCGTTCATCAGGTATAGTTTCCTCTAATTTAGAAGCAACTGGCGGTTTAAGACATGATTGCTGTGACGTTTTTGTGCCTTTAGTAGATCCTTGTGTCAGTCCTTGCTCACATGAAGAGTTTTTGTTACTCAGCTGACGAGTATTTTTAGGCCGGACCGCGGTTGTCTCGCCTGCGGTATGGAGATTAGATCGTTCCTGGCACCATGAATCAAAGTTGGGAGATGCTAGTTGGGGACAAGCATCTTTCGGGAGGGGCCCTTTCAATGGGCGGCGTCTGACGGGTGGGGTGAAGCGTGGCTTCGCGGGTTTTTTCGCATTCTCTCGGAGAGAATTGTCGTCAGAGAGCTTATCTGCAGTGTGGACAGAGTTTAGCTTTCTGGTAGCTCTCCAAGAGATGCATTCTGTGGGCTTCTTCGGGAGTAACGAGAATTTAGAGGATTCTGTTTTTCTCCAATCCAAAGACTTGCGGGATCCAGGCTGGATCACCGGAACCCGGGGAGGTGTTGCGTTAAACAAACATGTAATTAGTGAGGTTTGAGTTCTTTCGCATGTCGGGGCTGAGCCCATCAGGACAGCTCCGAGGGGTGTTACAAACATCGTGGGAAGCGAGGGTCCTAGCGGGTGCGGTGGACCGACGATGAGGGCAGAGAATAATTCTGCGCCGATCAGCACGTCTACAGGGCCTGGCTGATCGAAGGTAGGGTCGGCAAGGTTCCAGCCTTTAACTAGATCCTTAACCGAGGCGGCAATGGCCGTGGAAGGAGTGGAGTTTGTGATCGTCTGGACCACAGTGACTGGGTGGTTCTTGGCCACAGGCTTGTGGCGCACAGATGCCAGCGTGACGTGGAAACGGCCAAAGGTTTCGACACGATTCTCGGCTAAGCCACTCATTGCATACATAGGAGACTGGACATTCAAACCGAGCTTGTCAGCGCACTCGCGGGTGATCAGAGTGCCTTGCGAGGCTGAATCCAAAATCCCGCTGACCAAAACCGATCCTTTGCGAGTTTTTATGCGCAGTCTTGCGGTGGCCAAGAGAATGGTAGAAGAAGTTTTGCTGGTACTGAGCAGGACCTTCTCCTGGGAGGAACCTGAGGACGCCGGGCTGTCAGAGGTAGCATCCGGGTCGTCAGAGTTGTTTGCCGGAGACTCTTCGTGGAGAAGAGTGTGGTGCTTTTTGGAACGAAGCATGCAACGCCGAGGTGAGACACACGACTCGACGAAATGAGTGTTCAGACAGTTAATACACCTACTTGCACTCTTTATGAATTCTCGACGCTGAGAAATGGGTTTGGCGCGAAAGGCGGAACAGTCAAAGAGTCGGTGTCTTTCTGGGCAACACGGGCATTGCGGTTGGCGTGCGCGGTCGGTCTGAGGCTTGCTGTGATCGTCCCTATCCTCTTGCTCGTGCTCAGAGGAGGAGTCAGAGCTATCAGACGACTCATCGCATGATACCAAAACTTTGGTGCCGTTGGGTGAGCGAGACTTGGCTCTATTTTTGCGGGCTGCGAGATTGGAATTAGTCTTATGGCATGAAACTAGAGTCTTAGCCTCTCTGCGATTGGGAGGGCTATCTTCAGTGCTGCGACGTTCCTTCTCCAGGAGGCTAAGGAGTTCGTCCAGCTTGGGGTAAGAGGGATCAGCTCCTCGGTAGTCCTCCAGCCTTTGTTTCAGGTGAGTGGACAATTTTCGCACTATTAGGGCGCTCAGCAGACCACTGTAAGAGTCTGGAGGGTGACCGAGGGCCTGGAGCGCTTGGGAATGTTCCCTGATCTTGG